TTGACAAAGGGGCCCATTTTGATATTGAAAAGGTTTTCATCCCTTCATCAAAGGCAACCAAAAATAAGCATCCCTACGTCTCGAAGAGTGTCGGATGACACAAATAAGTGTTCAACGCATTGATCAGTTGATACTGTGTTGCTGCACAAAAGCAATGCATTTGAGTGCATCTGGAAACTTTTAGAAAAATTCTTTGATGCTAGAAATGGGGCAAATATATTTTTTTATATTAGCCTTCACAGTCTCTCCCACCGCCCTCTAAATATGTTAATTTCTTTAACATATTGTGAGCTCCAAACGGTTCCCCGTTGCCCCACGGCTCATTGTCATCGGCAATGGCGAAACCTTGTGATTAACATGGGGAGCCGTATTGCATCCTTAATGATTCCTCAGTTCACATCTCCTCCTATTGGCCAAAGCAAGAACAGACGGCCCCCACGGGGGGAACCCAGACACACTCACTGTGCCTGTGACATCTTTGAAAACCAAGTGTGTGAGTCAGTGTGCGTCTGAACATTTGTATTTATGTGGACGTGTGTTCACAGGGTGTGATGGATTTCTTTTCCAACATTTACTCCCAGGCACAATGAGAATGTGGTCTTACTGAGCCATCGCGGTCACATAAGAATAGGACAACGGTGCGTTTGCGTGTTTTAGGTATTTTATTTGTATTTTGTTTCTGCCTCTTAAAACATGTCTGTTGAGTTTACTTTGAAGCCTGTGGAGGATGGGTACACTTCCTTTTGGCAGATGTTGTCTTTTTCAACTGCAGGAAGTGGGTCTCTATAAATATCAGGGTTTTTTTTTTTAGTGTTTTTCTCGCAGTCTTCAAGCCAACTTCCTGTGTTTGAATGAACTGTGGGTGCAAGAAGAGTTACACACAATGAGTTGTACAATGTGTCTTTCTAGCCTTTAGCTCATACACCCAAACCCCCAGACTTGTTAACGTGAGTGACGCCGCACAGGATCATGATGGAGGAGCAGATATCTTGAGAGTTGATATCTGATATCAACTCTCAAGATATCTGCAAGTGTTGATATCTGAAGACGGCATCTGTTGCCCAAATCTCTGTCAAACACACATGCACGGTGGCAGGAACGCAAAGCCTCACACATTGCTATTTATATATACTTATCACTCTTACCTGAATCTAAAATGCACCAAAGAATTTTAAGCAAATTGCTTGAGATTTTGATGACTAATAATGACGATAATGTTGTAATGTATAAATGTTTTATGCTGTTAATCCAGAATTGTAGGCAGTCTCAGATGTGAAGTGAAGCCAAAATGACTCAAAAAATAGATGCAAGAAATGTGAAGCTAAAAGAGGGCTTTTGTTACTTAAAAAAATAAGGTTGACCTCAGAATGTTTGTGTGTCTTTGTTAACACCGATCCTTTTCCACCCAAAGTCAAACTCAAAAGTAAAACCTTATTTCACAGTTTTAATCACAAGTTTCCGATGCGGTTCTGTTAAAATGGAATGTTAATACTCTGTAACCCAAATGTGACCTGATTGTTGATGTTATTTTCTCACACATTCTTTTATTTGAACACTTTATAAAAGTCACGAGTCTTGAGGTTCACTGCTCGACTTTTCAATGAATCTCCTGTTCTTCTACTTCTCTGATCTGTCGCTTCTTCCCCCACCTTTCCCTGCTTCAATCGCCCTTTTTAACCTTCCAGGCTTCTGTCTGTGATTTCCCTGGCAATGTGCTCGGGGACTACGGGTCAGCATAAAACTGCTCTTATTTTGTGGTGATGTCAAAAAATAAAGAAGTCTCTGAGGTGTAGAGTTGCCTGGCAACAACTTGCCGTCTTTGTGTGAGTTGGCCTTCATCAGATTGCAGGGTAGACATTTATAAACTCTACGGCATAAGAGTTGGTTTGTGCACAACGAGGAGCGAAAAAGCGACCGAGTGGGTGAAAAGGAACCGCTGAAGGATAACGTGCGACTGAACTGCCAGTTTGGTTTTGGAAATACAGCCCAAAAACGTCCTCCCTGTCTGCTGCACATCTCTCCACGGCTGTGTGGAGGATCATCATCTTGCATCAGTGATCTGGGCATTCAGTGGTCAACGGTACTAAATCTGAAGATGCTCTGACGTCGACGGCGTCCAATGGCAACATTAATGTTGCGCTGTAGTAGGAGCAGCGTTCTCTGCCCTTCGCCGTGCACTTACTTGCACGTAGAGATGCGGGTAGCGGTCTCGTTAGTGGATTACAGCGGGACACTAATGGACAGAGGGGTGCTGTTCATTCACCTTTCCCAGTAATCTAGGAAATCAAAGCCGTGGCTTTTCAGGTCATAAACTCATTGTTGGCTTTCAAGCTGCCACAGCTGATTTACAGTTACCGGGACCTCCAGCTGTGGCTTTGGCCTTATTGTGTTTAGATCATGGTAAGATTGCAGTTCTCTAGTGTAGTTCTGGAGTCACGCTCACAAAACCTTTATAAGGATTAAAAGTTTCTTCTCATTGGCTGAATTAGGAAAAACTAAGGAATGTTTCATTTCCTTGTTTTGCATTTTCAAGGTATTTAGGTGCTAAAACTACAACAAAGTGAGAAGTTTGAGTCCCTGAGACCTGCTCCCCAACCAGTCAGCTGCTGCAGGTAACACAAATTGTCACTTTGGCATTTGTAGAAAATCAATTTTGGTGGGGGTTTGTATTCTTCTGTCAAATCGCCACCAAATTTCCACAATTCATTTACAACAGACATGATTGTTTGCACACCTCCACTACACTTGGACAGCGCTACGTTCCGGTTTGCAGCGCAGATGAACAGAAAACATCATCAAACAAAAACGTTGCCATATTCACACTAACATTTAATGTGAAATAAAATGTCACATGAAGCTAACAGCAGATACGTGAATACGCGCATGACGTTAGTAGGGCTGGACTTTTGGCCATGAAAAGTTAATGAAAAGTTAAATGTTGTCCTTGAGAATATGCCGTGTCTGGACATACATTACATAAAACTGGACTGCAGAATGTCTGGCAGTTTCCAAGGCAACCGTGTTCTTGTCTTTGGTCTCATTATCAGTCAGCGTTCCCAATACACTCTGCAGACGTCTCGTCAACTGACTCCTAAGTGCGTTTGTAAGATTACGTAATAGTTGGTGTAGAAAATGTGTTTGCAGACGAGAGATTTAAAAAAAAAACACTTGATGAGTAACCATATACAATGTTTAATGTGACCAACCCGCCAGTAATGGTCAATGCTTTAGCCACGGAGGCTATGATTAAACATTGTGGTCCTATTTTGTTATTTATTTTATTGTACCTTAATCAGGATTTAGTAACAAATGGGAATTTGCAAAGCAGCTCTGACATCTGAGATTAACTAGTGAGATATAGTACAAGATTCTACTGTGGAAATCTGAGTACTTGGTCAGCAAACAGCAAACAAGTGCTGTAAAGTCTCATCCAATGACCAATAAATCTGTCTCGTATTTCCACACTGGATGCTCATGGTTAATGTACTAGTTCACATGTTCATACTTTTTTGCCCAAAGCATATTATCGTTAGTCGACGGTTAGGAGCGCAGGCTATTAAGGAACTTAAATGTACGCTGCCATATTTTGCATGTCAGCTGCCTGAAGCAGTTAAAGGACTGAGATGTTTCCAGCCACATTCATCGCAAGATTCAGACAGAAAATGGGTCGTAGTCAGGTGTTGCCTTCTTTGTCAGAGTTATGTAAGAAATCTCCAATGTAATTTTACAATATAGTTTCATACAATTCATACAATATAGTTTCTTTGTTTCCACAAATCTAGTAACTACAGCTGCTTGTTCTTTTCTCAACTTTTACAGATTTACCATTGCCAAGGATCTTTTATATAAACTGTTTTAGAAGACGGAACGTTTGAACAACCTTTTCAAGGCTTCAAGTTTCAGTACATTTATATTTTAAGTTGTATAATTTCCTCCTGGACAGCAGCTAAAGTTAGTGCTAACTAACACAAACTCATAGAAGTATTGTTTGATTAGTGCAGTAATTTCTGAATCAACTACTGTTAAGTGTTATTTCTAAGGATCTGGTTGAAGTATTTTCATGTTCTTAATGGGAGCTGAGGGCTCCAATCAATTTTTTTTTATCACCCTCCTCCCTGCTCATTCCGGGGCGCAGTTATAATCAGCCATGGCTCATTAAGGAGCTTATGATATTTCTGTTCCCTGCAGAGTGACTTGTGCTGCTGTACTCAAATGCTGTTGATTGTGGCTCCTGGTGTTTGTTTGGCTTTGACGTCTGCCATGTGATACAAAGATGAAGGCCAGGGTTGTGTGTGTGTGTGTGTGTGTGTGTGTGATACACAATTGATGCATCATCAATGTGTCTTTAGTGGTTCCCTTCAATTGCACTTGACATGCATTGGAGAAGAACGAGGCATCTGTGGGGACCAGAGAGGGGAGGAGCTAGTGAAGGACTTGAGAGCGGGAGACAGAGGAAGGTGAAATTGTGATGCTCTTCACAGCATCATGCTAACTAGGAGGAAGATTATCATTACCCCCCCCCCCCTCAGGCAGTGGAGACGGACAGCGAGGGTGTGGGCGCACTTTTGACTGTGATTTGTGAGTGAGGCAGTTCCTGTGCACACACGAGAAACTTCTTCTTCTTTTTGAAAACAATAAAATTGGTTGCTTTTTCATCTCCAATCTGTTTCCCCTTTATTAGGTGCTCATCCTTCTTCATTAAAGAAGCTTCCTCCTCCAGCCCACTGAGTAGGTGGCCGACCCACCAGTTTTTAAAGGTCAGAGGCAAATGTGTCCCTAGTTATGGAAACATACGCCGCTCACAAACTCCTAATCATCCGTGCTCCTTATTTCCCTCGATCCCTCAGCACACCCCCTCTCCCCGGCTCCGGCCCCCCTCCTCCCTCCCTCCCTCCCTCCCTCCCTCCCTCCCTCAGCAGCACAGTGGTATGCTCCACTCGTCTTCGCTCCTCTCCTCTCTCTCTCTCTCTCTCTCCACTCTCAGCCTCAGCATTCTCCACTCCAGAGCCAGACTCTGGTGCAGCGCCGATCCATACATACGCACACGTGTGTGTGTGTGTGTGTGTGTACACAGGGGGGGGGTGTCTCGTGGGTGCTGGTTTCCTGAAAACGCCCGTCGTTGGAGTGTGCGAGCTGATCTGCGAGAGAATGTGCGCGTGAGCCTTTCGGGAGCGTCCTTTTTGTATGGAGGAGCATGTGTGCAGAGAGCGAGACAGCGTGAAGATGTGTGGTGGTGGAAAGGTGTTATTGTGATCGGGGGACTTTTTGGCTGTACCATCGTCGTGCTGTGCGCCTCCCCCTCCTGCTCATTTGGTTATCTTGTGAGGGCAGTAAGCGTCTAGCCGGGATGTCCACCTCGCCCGGTGCAACAGACGGGAGCCAAAGGAACTCTTGTAAGTGACTTTTTTTTTGTCGTCTTTTGTGTGTTTCACCGTTCCAGAGGTCTTCATGGCAATGGTTGTGTTTATAACCAACCTCAAATTGACGCACTTTGGGCAAGCACGAAGGACATGTATTTAAAGGAAATGTGATGCATATTACTAATGCTAATGTGGTACATGTAAAAACATTTCTTTATATTCTCACAATGTAAAAAGTACACATCTGTCCATCTATTGGCTGCAGCAATATGAGGTGTGTGTGTGTGTGTGTATGTGTGTGTGACAGCAGAACGAGTTTTGATCGTGTAGCACAGTGTGTATAAAGGGAAGATGACGTCTTCCAGTAGTCAAAGTAAAGCAGGTATAACACAAGCACGTGTGTCTGAGGGAGACGCGGGGCTGGTGTTTTGGCTGAATGAGTCAGTGTTTGTTTGTTCCCCGGAGCCCCCAGCTGTCGATCTATCGGAGAGGAGCTGGGCGTTGATCGGCCGCATCTTCAGCAACAGGAGACGTGCACAGGACCTGCTGGTGTTATTCAATAATGTAGACTACTGAGGAGTATCTTGTCTTTAGCCACAAGAAACAATGCTTCTACAATCTTTAATATTATTATTATTGTTACCGTTTAACCTGTTTTGGTTGAATATTGACTGAAATACTCCATCGGCGTAACTTTTTTTAGGGTAGTGAAGGGATTACAGTAAAGGACTGACGTGATGGTGTGTAGCGTATCAGTTGTTCAGTGGGTTGAAGTGTGTGGGAGTCTAGGACTGCTGTGCAGTTTTAATGTTTAACTCTTAATCTATTCTGGAGCAACAAACACACACAACCAAAGGATTGCTGCACCGTAAGTGGGGTGATTGATAAAATGATGAGACTCATTTTGACTCATCGGAGAGCTCCGTGGTAACACACAAGAAATAATCTCTCGCGCCCACACACACACACACACACACACACACACACACACACTGCCTTGACTGAGGCAGCGATCCCATCTTGGAAATGAGTCTCCTTTCATTGCTTTCATATTATTGCACCACCCCCCCCTTGCCACTTTTATTCCCCTTCTCCCCTCTTGTTGTTTTCACGTGGTAATTTACTGCCCAACCTCGCATACAACTTGCGTGGAAACCTTTTGTGTGTCTGAAGTGATGAGTTAATGATCACACGCTGAATCAGCCACCCACAGTAAATACTTGTGTTGGTTTTTATGATTTCATCATCACGAGTTGACGTCATTCGACTGCTTACTTGCTGTATAACTTGCGTTTTGCTCTCGCGTGTTTAGCTCTATTTTTTTTGCTGCTTAGCATTTGACCAGTTTGTTACTTGTCAAGATCCATCCATCGCATTACCTTCTTACAGAGCAGCGCTTTCAACAGAAATATCAAGTGGCCGCAGGCTATGATCACCGATTTACCAACCGAAATGTTACATAACATTTTCATATTTTTATTACATGAGTTGTGATTATTACTTTGCGCTTTTCCTTTTGAAATAGACACCAAACAATGCCAGAGTAGCACGAATAATTTATGATATAAACTCATTAAAACATCAAATAAAAGCCTTACAGGGCTCTTTTTGCTGATTGAAAACAGCAGTTTGCAATTACATAATGCTACAGCGACTGATTCAAAATAGTGCACGGTTACGGACAATTTAATGACTCTTATTTAAAGCCCTTTCACATTTAAGGCGGTAATATTTTTGGATAAGCCTTTCTGTAGCACGTTTTAATCTCCTCAGAGTTCCTGCAGCTTGACTCAGTGTGTTATTATCACACAGCTCTCTCGCGCTCTCAGTTTGTGTCCTCTGTAAAGGAGCAACAGCAGGCGGCTGCCACTGAGACGGATGTGCTTTGTCATCACTTCTGCCAAATGATGGCTTGCTTCTCCTCCTCTCTGCCTTCCCCTCGTCTACTCGCCCCCCCCCCCCCTCCCCCTTTCTGTCCCCACCTTTCTCCCTTTTGTGCCTGCTTGCTGTACGCAGCTGGTCTCTTCTCTGCTGGTGTCTCTTCTGTTCCTTAATCTCCGGTCCTCTGTATTATACAGCACTCCCTCCTCTTCTCCCTCTCCTCCTCTCTTCCCCCTGTCTGGTTTATCTGGGTTCACATGAAACTTTAATTGCATGTAAATCAAAGCACTGCAGATGTGATTAGTCTTTTGTGCTGCTTTAATGAGTGGTTCTGGACTACTGGAACACGTTACAGTAGGTGGCTCATAACTGCCTCTGGTGGCTTAAACCACAGGCGAACTCTGCTTTTAATAAGACATTTTTTCTTCAAGAGGTTTTTAGTGGATGACAAAAAAAATCCTAAGAGAATCTTGAAAAAAATAAGCTGAAAATGCTTATTCTAAAAGGCTCATTAATTTGCCTTGCAGACTTACTCACGGGATCAAATGTAGACAAATGTTCTGTTCATAACATATCAGTGTTTTATGGGTTTTAGAAGTGTTCATTCTGATATTAACATACTATGTAAAGTAAAAGCATATCCAGGTTTGTGTATAAACGTAATGTCGATAATCGGGTTTTACCGACATTTTAAATTGGTACTTTGCTTTAAGTGTACTCATTCTGCTAAGAAATTGGGGACTGAGTTACTAGAAAAGAAAGCTGTTTTGAGATGTGACATTTAGCAGGTGACCAAATATTATATTGAAAAATATTTTCCTTTGCTGAAAAGTTTGCTATAAGTGACACAGATGCTGCGAAGGGCCAATGTTTGGATCCTGTGTTGACTTTTTATCCATCGTCTCCTGTGACGGAGAGACTTGTGTGCATACTTGTGTTTATTTTTGTGTGGCTGCAAACATTTCTCCATACATGCATAACCAAGATGCAGTTAGCCTGCTAATTAGTCGCGTCCAAACGGCGCCCGCACAGCATGTAAACGCAGACGCTGTGCACACATGCAGACGTATCCTAATTCGTCTGTTCCTTTCTGTGGAGGTCGCGCTCCTTGAAGCCACCAATGGAGGGTTAACAGACTGGAATTTAACTGTCATTAAATATGGATTTTCTTCAAGAGGTGAAATAATAGTCGAGGACAAAGAAGGCCTGATGTTCATGAGACATATATAATAATTACATTTTTAAATTGATCGTTTCATTCTTTAGGCTGCACGTGCATGACATTGTAATTCGCTCCTTCAGTATTTTAGTTCCATATCGATTTCTTTGTATAGCAGTTGTACAACTGATGCATGTGTGCAGTTGCATACATGCACATGGCTACAAATATTACATACAGGGAATACAGACACGTATATACAACTACTAATATTGTCATTAAAATAGTCTATTTCACATCTATTTGTTTTATCGTATCCTCCAGGGTTGCAGGAACACGTCCCATGAATCAGAATCAGGACACATTATGGATCTCTACTGTCCCGACAATGCTTTCCTACCACCTTTCCCTTCCCTCTGTGTTGCAGGTAGTGAACACCAAGCTTAACAGGTGTCTTTGGAGAAAAACATGTAATGTTATGTCCCCTCTCAACACTCGTATTCTTTACTCAAGTGTACTAATGGCAGGCTTTCTCAGCAGTCTCTACACCGTCTTTGCTAAGATCAGGAGGAACAGTCTCCCAGCAAAGACGCATTGGAGATTCAACGCGTTGCAAAGAGTGCCACAAAGGGAGGGAAAGGAATGATAAAAGATTGAAGGAGGGGAATAGAGAGGAGAGGGGCGGTAAATAGGTGGTTGGGTGGAAGAAAGAACAGAAGTTAAGGAGGACACCAAAATTAGGAGACGAGATGAACAATGAACCGGGAGAGAGGACAACGCGAGTGGAAAATTAAGAGTAAGAAGATAGTAGTGCAGAGAAAGCAGTGCGAGTAGGTGGCGGAGGAAGGGGAGTGGGTGAAGAGACCGAGAATAATATTTACTCCAGAATAATGGAGAATATTGGTAAAGAGGAGGGAACGAGCCAGAGCAGAATGCATTACAGATAATGAGTAGGAGGAGAGTAGGACCGTGCCTACACACTGTCTGGGAGTTGGCTAATTGGTGGCAGTTGATGCAGAGTCCACACACTGCAGGAACAGAGAATCTCTAGCTTTTACTACCTGGTTGACGGGTTAGGGTTAGTTCAGACAGTGGAAACGGGAAACCCTGGTCACTGTCACATAAAATGGTTTAATTAAGTGGGATTTTCAGTACCACAACTACCATACTGAATAAAACTCACTTATTATTTGAATGATATTGGTGCTATATTTCTAATCTAGTGTTGTCTACAAGACATGTGGACAGGGATGTAGTTGAATGGAGCCTGAAGACTGATCATCCATATGTTACAGGTAAGTTCACCTAACAAGGGGAGATATTATATGTATATAAATGCATTTGTATTTTAGTTTAGCCTCTATTTTTGCAAGATATTGTACATTTATCTGTATCTGTAACTATATATATACACACACACAGCACCATTTCTATCTGGAGACATTATTGGAGTCGTTATTAAATAAGTTGACAATAAGTCAAACAATTTGGCTTAATTATGTAACTACCTACAGTAGATCAAATCTTCTTTCCGTTCGATGAGATTCACCCCATCATCCAGCCATACATACACCAATTAATATCACCGTAATGGTGACAAGCCAGTCGGTATCACAGCTATAAATAAGCTCCCACTGCTCGTCACGCTGAGAAATTATGCTGTGAGCTGTGCGGTATGACAGAAGAATAATAAAGAGACCGATCCACGAGGAGCATAATGATTGTAATTCAAGGGACAATGGTAGCTGGTTTATCATTTTCATACAGAGTGATGTCAGTAGTTTAGTGTTCAGCGAGTGCTCCAGTTCTTCAAGAGTGAGGGGGTTGAATTTAAGTCCGTCAGATTATTTCAAACACCCCCTTAGACGAAAAAGACTCAGACCGGTGTTTTTGTCTCATGTTCACAACAGATGGTTCAGAAATTGCATTCTCCCTCCCTGTGCGATCTACCTCACTAGGTGGGTTATGGCTCCATTCTCGCCTCCCACTCCCA